CAAGAACTCAGGGAGGCGACCAGGAGTAAATAACTCCTTGAGCTGACTGCGCTGCCAACGTCAGAATATTGTCCAACCGTGGTTTCACACATTGTGTGCGTTGAAAACTCCAGGCTCTTCACATAAAACAAACCAACAAACCCAAAACCCACACAGCACAAATGGAGAGTATTTGACAGAAGTTCTGCAAACAAAGCAGCTAGTGAAATAAACCCATTTTACTATTCTATGCCAGAGATTTAGGTAGAACTAAACTTGGGGATTATCCAATGCCACAACCACCTCCTGTAGAAGTTTTAGGATCCCTCACCATGCGCTAACATAGGAGCCCTCTCAGGAAAGCAAGCAAGCAAGCCATGTGCGGGAAGAAGCGTTGACGTTTCAGGGCAGGCACATTTGCCATCGATCAATGATTTGACGGCAGTACAGCTGCAAGTAACCTCTTTAAAAACCCCTCCTTGCTTTTGGTCACTCAGGACTAACCAACACTATGGCAAGACGGAGCAGTATCGGACTCTCTGCTAAGACCGTATTTGGGATAATATCATTCTGACCACTTAAATAACCTTGAAATATTAGGTGGAGGTCTTTTTTTTCCATTTGCTGATTGTCCCATAATCGCAACGCTGAGAAACCACGCTAAACCTCTTGCGTTGTAGTGCAAGATCAGCAAGAGGAACAGAATTAAGCAGCTGCTTTGGGCTGCCTCCAAGGATCACAAATTTCCCATATTGGATGGAGTGCTTTCTGTGCATTTTACACAGTAGACAACGTAGCTGGACTGTTACAGTGCTCTGTACTGATCCCTGCCTCCCTCCATGTATATTCTAAAGCCCTGAAAGAAAGCCTCATTCTACATACTTCAAAGGATAATAAACAGACGATGTTAATTTTATTTACTTATACACTACAAAACAAAGCAAGGTGTAGTTATCTACATTGTGTGTTAGGTGCTTTTGAGGCACCTATGAGAGCTAAGGTATAAAAGCCATAAATCAAGACATTATCCACCAAGCTTGTCAAAGGGAAGGATGATTCAGTTGCCAAGACCTGGGAACATGAGGCTGTACTGATAAAGACAATGCTGAAATATCCAAGGCCGAGGAAGGTAATTAGTCAGAGAGGATTGCTGCGGCATTTGGTAGGAAAAACCATTTGCAGAGTCCCTTCCACCGCCATCCATCAAGCTCAAAGAGCAGACATGATTCCTCCCCAGCTGGGAGTGCCTCTCTTCATGTCACTGGGGTTGTAGCTGTATCCTGCTACGGACAACACCCTAAGAAAGGAACAGACCTTTTTGAGGGAATGGGTGTTTACAGATTTATAGACTATAGGGATTTTAAAAGGATAAACGCAAGATTAAAGGCACTGGGTTGCATGTTCTAGAAAGCAAAAGATAAGGCCAGGAAGAATGTAAAAGACATCTAAGAGGAGAGTCATCAATTTTTAACTTGAAAAAAGTAATCATTAATTTTCAGCAAAGAAAGTTTGGACGGTACATGAGACAACCTAGCTAGATGGATAGTTAAGGATAGGAAGAGACATCCGAGGAACCTGTTTCAAGCTGAGTCTATGAAGGATGCAACATATCTTGTTTGCAAGGCTGAAAGGGCTGACTACGGGAGCAGAAAGGAGGAACTAAAAGTGGGTTTAAGCTAATATTAAGATAACCAGAAACACAATGAAACATCTTAGATGGAGCACGTTCTCTCTTGCCATTCTTCATTTTTTCACCTGCAGGGAGGCAGGAGCAGGAGGTGGCCGAGCCCCGGTGTTTGTGCCCTTTTGGTGCGTTGCTCAGAGGGCGAGCAGCAGGGTCCCTTGTATCCCTGGAAGGGCATCAGGAGCCACCCACACCCCGTGGTATCACCGAACAGGCCAAGAGCTGTTCTTGTACCTTCCCACTTTGGCCTCCAAGTTCCCATCCAGCCTTCCAGGTTTCTTTTTCACTTTTCTTAGCCAGGCTCCTCGTATTAAGGCTAGGGTATAGCTTTACAAACATAAAACTGGAGATTTCATCAATAAAAAGTCCCTCGCTTGGTACCCACCTTAGCCATGACCCCAGTCAGTTTAGGGAGCATCTACGGCTCTTCCCACCCTTACGCAGGCAAGTCAGGCACCACTTGCACTGGCAGTATTATTAATCC